GTTGTATCAAACCTTACAAACTGGTTTCAAAGGAAACTGTTTCGAGATGGATCCCTTCAGTTATGGAGGCTGCTGGTATAGATAATAAAGCATTCAGACCACACAGCACAAGAGCTGAAGGAACTTTGAAAGGAAAAGCATTATGTGTTGCTATCCATGACATATTGCATCATGCTGGATGGTCATCGTCAAGGTGTTTTGACCTTTTTTTACAATAAACCAGTGGAACCATCCAATTTTGCATCAGCCATCCCTTAGATTAATTAGGACATACAGTAGGGAAATTAGGGCCAGGCAATATGTCGCAGTAAACATGTTTGTGTCAGCTTCCGTTTTAGAAGCTCTGCATGGCCACTTATTGCAAATGAAAAATGTGAAAGAGTCTTTCAACTTCATCTACAGAAGAAGATCTCTCACTGAACTATAACATAAGAAGGTGCAGCACATCATCTCCTTGTTCAGGAACTAGCTGTAAATTGGACGAAATGATATCCTCATTCAATATAGCAGAGCAGGTTATGCCAAAACTTGATCTTGTATTAGAGAAACTAGGAACAGTAGAATCCAAACTTGGAAAAGTAGACTCCAAACTTGAAGAACTTGAGAACCATGTTAAATCTGTGGATGTTAAACTAAGGTTGGATATATTGAAACATTTCAGAAGAAAATGGAGAAGACTTTGAACGACATAGAGAACGGGATGAATTTGACTAAAGCAGAAAGGGAATCCTTCAAGATGAGAATCCAAGAATTACAAACCCAGCTTGACTAGCTCAAAAACAAAAAAAGTCTATATGGAGGTCTATCAGCCGCGTGGGAATCCAAGAAATAGGCACAGAGGAAGACACGAGGGAGGTTTCGGTCGACTTTTTGGGTACAGAGCTAGGTTTGAAAGATGCTGATGGATTAGAATTTCAAAGAGTACATCAGATTGGAAAGTGGGACCCCTCCAATGGAAAACCCAGACAGATTATTGCATGTTTCCTGAGATACCCTGATCTAGAGAAGGTCATGTTTAATGCCAGAAATCTAAAGGAAAAGACTTTCTCAGGTTAATTAAGGCCTGGGTCATAAAATGCTTTTCGCCTCCAGTGCCCCCCCAGCAAGGTTCGCAGAATTCGCGTGGACTGCGCGAGTAACTATAGTTACTTGGAATCAAGATCGCGTAGTTTGTGAACGGCATCCGCCATTTTGAAGTGTCGGCTTTGCATTGGTTTTTCCCATCTTTGCTGGTGAATCTGACCATCTAGAGGAAGACATCAAAAGAAGGTAATAAAATTTTCTTTACTATCTTCATTTCCTCAAAAAATGGCATGATATCGCTATCTTAAAGGCAAAGAGAACCCTTTCGAACCTACGAAGACTTCTAAACACCGCTCTCAACACGTTCATTGACTTCACTGCAAATACAATGCAACATGAATTTATAATATAGCACTCATTTCTAGAGCTCAATAGCATTTTACAATGTTTGTAACTTATGCATAGAAAAAGTACTGTTTTGTAACAAATTCATAGAAAAAAGTTTCATTGTGGATATACCATTCAATTTTGAAATTACATTTAGCTTGATAAATCCTCTATCATATCATAATGTGTAAACTTATGGTGTTTATCAAAATTTAGGCTTTTGAATGCTTTGGAAACAGTTTCTCCAAGAAGCAGATGAATTTACGTACGAAAGTAATCCCCCAAATCAGTTGTTAGGTAAGTTTAATTGCTGACATGTAAGATGCAGATTGTCTTGTCATAAATTTTCCTTGAAAACTAAGAGAAAAAAGCTCTACTAATGTGTGTTAGTTTATTCTGAGGTCACTCACTGAATTGCTTTAAATATATAATAATAATAATTTTAATTACTCACACAGAAAACCAGCCAGCCCTTGCAGATTCCAAAGGGAATCTACTTGATTAAAACCAGTTTTATTTACTGTTATCCCGATTTGTTTTCTTGGAGAGGTCCTTCCAGTTATTCCACACAACTAATTTATTACAAGAATGTTAATGGTGTTATTTATGAGGCATTTTTTTGGTTTTTAAATCATGTTATATCAGTTTTAATTATAGTCAACAGTTTAGTTTTTAAGTTTTGACCGGTAATAATTGCAACAATCATTATCAATGATGGACATGTAATTGATGTATGTGTCTATTTGAATGTAAATATTCTACCCACTACACCAGTGGAGTATCTTTCAATTCAAGTGCATTGCAAAAGTTCTGATACATGCATATGATTCTGACCATAGCCCTCTCTCTTTGTTGATAAGACATGATTAATTACCAGTGCTTCCTGTTGCCCCAAGTGGGGCACTGTTTTTTTTTT